TAACTTCCCTTTTGTTCACAGCCAAGGCAGCCTCGAGTTCTGTGGACAAAGTAGTTTTATTAATTTTTACCTCAGAGGTTTCACCTGAGCCCTGTTTTACCACTTCCAGGGACAGACCAGAAGGTTCCTTTGTACTGTCTGTGCCAACCGGCACTACCTGTTTGACAAAATAGTCAGATTCTTCAGGATATACATACCCATTGTCCCAGCATGTAATTTTGCTGGTTTCCCAGTTCATTCTTGGTTTGAACTCCTTGAGGAATGGCATCCCAAGAAGGACATGTTCTTTTCCAATGAGAGGGCCCACATAACACTTGACCCAAATAATGTGCTCCTTGATCTCCATCTTCAGGGTCACCTTATGAGTAATCCACTCTTCATCCTTTCCAGTGAACAAGGTCATCTTGAACTTCTTTTCCACCCAATAAGTCAGGATCCTAAGTTTCTGGACCATCTTCTCTGAGATGAGGGAGACTTCAGCACCTGAGTCAATACAGGCCCATATTCCTGCCTTGTAGTCTGGTAGTATGACTAACCTGAGAGGGGAATGAATTCACATATTCGATTCATCATCTATAGAAGTACATTTAGCAGACAAAATTGAAATGGGACTGACTGATGCAGGAGATTCATTATTCCCCTTTAAAAACCCAACAACTTCCATTCCTCCACATTTGCTTCATGATCTCCAACATAGGCAGTCTTTGTGCCATCCTCCAAGAGGATGATGCAGACATTGGACAGTTGAGTTTTGACCTTGACTTTACAGTCACACTTGATGTGACCTTCGGCTCCACAATTGAAGCACTTAATTTCTGAACTGGAACATCTGATGTTCCATTTACATTTGTCAACCTCCATCACATCAGGATCTTGGGAACCTCCATGGTAATGAATGAATTTGCATTCATACCAAGATTCCTTCCCTTCTAGGATATGCTTCATTGCAATTGCAGTTCAGGCTTCTCCCACACACTGTATCCACTCAATAACCATGGAAGGGGCACGTCCAGAATTAAGAACCCAGTTGCAGTATTCTTTTTGCAAGCCTTTCCTGAAGAAGATCCCTGCTTCACATGATTCTTCCTTGAGTTGAGCCTTGTTAACAAGCCCCATAAACTTGGCAATGTACACCTCAAGTTCTTGTTTGCCTTGTTGGATGTCCAAGAGACACAAGATAGCAAGGGCAGTCTGATCTCCCAACTCGAAAGTTGCCTTTAGCCTTTCAACGAACCTTTGAAAGGTGTTGGTATAATAGATTGTACCATTGAGCATCTTGTTTTCATTTTGATAGTTCTCAGTGAACAACACAGCAGTGTCCTTGGTCATGTACATGAGTGCAAACAAAATCTTGAGGGACTCTGTGTTGTAAACGTGCTTGTTCAGGTTCAAGCAACCTTCGACCTGCATAATCCAGGTCTGAAGCCCATTGTGGCTTCCATCATATTCTCCAGGATGCCTGACCTTAAACTCCTGACCTCCATTGGGTGAGTGGCTTGAGCCATAGTAATCATCCTCATCAGCTTTGGCTTTCCCCTTACTGCTATCACCAGCAGACAGCTCTGGGGGTACAGCCTTTCTGAAGTTCCTACGATACCATTCTCACAAAGCCAAGTCAGTAGGCATACCTGTTGGGAACAGGTCACTTGCAGTTGCATGCATAGCCTGGCAGAGCTCCTCCACCATTGTGACTCTTTGTTCTTCCAACCTCTGTCTCAGTTCCTCTTCCGAAATGGTCCTTGGGGGCATTTCAGGAACTGAATCTCTGTGACCAATCATCATGGACATTTCTTCTTGATTGTGAGCTTCTTGTTCTTCTTTGAGGACTGATCTGAACAAAGTATTGGACTTCTGATCATCATCTTCTTCTGAACTAAGCATGACTTCCAAATCCCTAAACCAGGATAGATAAGATAACCAGGGATTTGTTGTGGTAACTGAAGGACCAAGTCTTCCTAGCAGGATGGGCAGTAGTGGTGGGTTTCTGCCAAGCCCAAGCAGATTAGGACAAGGAGGGACAGGGGGCTTCAATTTCTGCAGATTAGACACTTTAACAGATAGTGACAACAAAGGCTGAGGGAGGATTTATTTCTCAAAAGAAACCTGTCAGTGTAGAGGGTGTTGTTGGTGTGTGAGTGACTTTACACATAGGGAGACATGAGCACTGACTCTAGGGAGGTGATCTATTAAAGCCTAGTGGCTGCCTGTAGAGCAGTGGGTTTGATTAAGGGTGGAGGGGTGCTTTTTGATCTTGCTGCCAAATAATGAGACAAAGGCAGGTCAGTCTTTATGTGTAGGGAGCCTAGTGTGAGTAGAAGTTGGTTTGTTGAAGTTCAGTAACCAGGGATGAGTAGACTTTCACAAAGAGATCAACGAGTCCTGAAAGCTGTGTGGAGTTTTTTGATTTTGTTATGCCTGAGCATGGTGACTTCTTCAAATGGAATAGGCACGAAGCACACAAGGGGGAGTCTACAGGCTGAATGTGTCATAACCCCTATGGCTCAGTTATCTCTGAGGTCCAGCAGAGGTTCACTCCTTCTGGTGAGTTCTTCTGAGATCACATGGAGGAGGGAACAAGGACAAAAGAGAAGGAAGTTAGCTGAGTTGCAAGCTATTGAAAAACTGAGGATACAGAGTAAAGTACATGGGTTTATATACCCCTAAGTATGAGTGCCATATCAGTCATGACATGTATCCACAGTAATCAACAAAACAATCAGACAAATAGATAAGTCGAAGGGAGTCATACAGTGTCATATGATGGGGGTGGACAAGGGAACAAAGGCTATACCAGCTGTGCAATCAATGCACAGCAAGGAGCCAGACACCAGAGCTATAGTACAACATATGAGCAATATAAACAAGTCAGAGACAAGTCAACAGAACAAGAAGTAGACATGTCATCCATCAGAGAGGGTGGTGGAATACCAGATCAAGTGGGAGGCATGGTCTCAACAGGTATTGGAAATACCTTGACAGTGGGAGATCCAAAGGAGCCTCACAGCATATGAACCCCTAGGATGGCGACAATTATGAGAGACATGATGAGGCATGTGATGCATGTGACCACAGCAAGTCAAAAAAGGAAAGACCCCTGATGCAGGTGTAACACTTCCCACTAGACAGCAAAGCACTGGATGGTGGGATAGAAATGTCAGATGGGTTGATGGTAGATGGCAGATCGTTGAAAAATGGGAAATGGTCGTCATCTGACCCAGGCAGGACTAGGGGAAGTGCTGGCACAGAATCAGCAGGCACTGAAGTGGATATGGGTTCAATGGGTGTGGGAGTGGAGGAGGGTGCAGATTCAGAAGGCACTGAAGTGGAAGTGGTTAGTTGAATGGTTGGCACTCCACCATCTCCATTGTCTAGGCTGTCAGCAGTGGCATTGGAACTATCTGGACTAAAGGCATTGGCCCCACAGGCACCACCATGGGGTATGATATCTGCAATGTAGGGATATAAATCCCATCCACTCGTTTTGAACTGGCGAATGAGGGGGTGACTCTAAGAGTAATTGTCAGTTCATCAAGCCATGGGGTTAAAAAATAAAAATAAAAATACCTCCACAAAATCCTTGAACACCTGCTCAGCATGCTGACCCTGAATATTAGCCCCCTTCTTGTTGTCCCAGTGGGCTCCAGATGGTTGTGCTCAATAGTACTCAATATCATGATATATTTTGAATCTATGACAGAAGATCAGTAAAAATCACAAGCAGTTTACAATGCTGACTTACATAGCCAGTCCACTTGTTTCTCACCACTTGATAGTTCTTAGGAGGTCCATCTGTGCGATAGTTGGCAATATGCAGGGCAGCAGCTTGATATGTAGCCATCTTGAAGTTCCCATTATTGCCTGCCTCATGCCAGTTGTTGTGCAGGAACCTTACAAGAGCAGCAGTTTCTTCATGGTTCCAATGAACTTGTGGAGTGGGAGCACTAGTCTTATTAGGCATCAAGTGAGTTAGTGAATCCAGAGTGTACTAGGATACGAGGGCAACAACAGTGGCAGCCAATACCCAGGCAAGTCTAAGCTGATCCAGATCATTGTAATCCATCACAGGACATGTTTCAAACTCAATTCAAACTCACTATGCAAACTGCCCCAGTGGAAAAACATGTACAAGCATTGAAGGAACTAATTGCAACTTACCCGAGGTTTCTGAACTAGCTCTAAATTCAGCCAAATTACAGCATGCACATTAGACAGTTTTTGAATGCTCGGCAAACACTGGCGAACATTAAGCACTTGAAAACCCAGGTTTTTGAATGCTTAGCTTTACTGATGGAGGAGAGAACAGAATCCACTGGCACAAGGTGCTGCACGTCGCCTCGGTGCTCGCAAACCTACTGTTCTGGTATGTATGGCTGCATCCGTTGCCCGGCCTAATAACAAGTGAGAGAGATGCCAAGTACTGGGCACCGTCAGCCAAAGAATTCCTTTGCAGGCATGAACGGCCCATACCCAAACCTTCGTCCCATCTCACCTCCGCGAATGAAGACATTATCCGCACAGCAGTACTTTTCAACCATACCTTTCAAGCATATTCACCATCCTGTCATCAACGCTGATCCATGAAATCCTCGTTGGAAGGCTGCACATGAAGCTCTCACAGCATGGTGCCGTAACATCAGTCGGTACAAATGGCAGTGACGTTCCCGAGAAGGGATATCTGGTTCAAAGGCATAGTAAGCAAAAACATTTTCTGAACGACTATCGTATCGATGGGCCTTGGCAGCGGAGCACCCAACGAGGTGAAATGACCGGAGTCGTCGCTGCTGGGTATGAGGACTTGTGGTAGGGGAAGGGGTGTAGCAGATGTCAAATGCAAATGAAAGACACCACAATATGAATCTAATAAATTTGCTTACGATGACAAGATGATACTGTACCAGACATTAACGAGTACACTGACAACTCTTCACCGCAGGAACGTCAGGAAAGTAAGCCAGTCAACCCAAATCATCAATTGTGTTTCGACGACGACCCAAACCTAGCATAACCGGCGGCAACACCGCCGTAGTCCGGGTAAGACTGAGCACCGAAGCATCGGTACATACGATGAAGAGATTGGATGGCGTCTGGCGTGCGTCATCAGTACACGGGTGCGTAGTACAACGTCTCCTCCAGACCACCGGGCCTTTTCGCATTCCCTGAACTTCGCCCACTGAGACGGTTCAATGATGACTCCACTAGACTGATCAGATCTCAAAACCGGATCACTTGCACGAAGACTCTCGTTTCTCATCAGGTGAGAGTCGACCATGTATGGGAGGGCACGTTGAATTTTGACCCTGCACGCGTACCAACCATATGGAGAAAGCAAAGCGTGGGCTTCAATGCCTCACCTTGCGAATCGACATCCTACACCCTCTGTACTATCCATTCCACAGACAAGGCATCCCTTCACTTACAGTGAAAACGACTCTACCATGACACAATCGCCTCTGCAATTAAAGATAATCCTCATTGGCGATATGTCCGTTGGCAAGACCTGTCTCTATAAGCGCTTCTTTGACAGACAATGGTCATTCGAAAAGGTTGCTGCGACTTACGGCGTTGACCTCCAAGTGAGTCCCCTCTCGCGCACGAAACACAGAGGACTTCGTGTGGTATGTCCTATACCCCGTACATCTCACGTAATTTGTTGGGTGGCAACAGCCAGTGGCCACATTGGCGAGAATAAAGGGAGTTGATCCTCACATTTGACATAGTTTCAAACCATGGAAGTTGATGGGCGAAAGGTGAAACTCGGCATATGGGTGAGCATTCCTCCCCGTCATTTTCAGCATGTTAGAGTGAGACGCTTCGCCTCTTCATATCATTTTGTCGTGCCCCATTATGTAACAGGACACCGCAGGAATGGAGAAGTTCCGGGTGATCACGGCGCCATTCTACAGGGGTGCGCAGGGTGTTATACTCGGTACGGTCAATGCGACATGTCCCCAGTCTTACATCCTGACGGTGACTTTGTTCGAAATGGACCAGTGTACGACATTACTGACAAAACATCGTTCGATGCGTTGGCAGGTTGGCTTGCTGAAATCGATCAACACGTTCCATCCACCACACCCAAGATGATCGTAGGGAACAAATTAGACCAGGTGTGTCTACCAGCTTTTCATATTCCGCTGCCACGTTCCTTCTTTCGCCACTAGCCCTCGTGATGTAGTTGTGTGTCACTGACACGTAGCTTTTCCGCAAACAGGAACATTCCCGGCAGGTATCTACCTTTGACGGGGAACTGTTTGCCTCCCGTAACGGTGCGCTTTTTCGTGAAGCAAGCGCCAAGACCTCGGCAGGTGTGACCGAAGTCTTTGAGGATCTCGTCAAGCAGATCCTCAACGCTGAAGACCAAACGAAATCGGTGGACATTTTTAGGTGGCCTCAGGCTGAAGTAGTCAAGCTGTATGCACAGGACCCAGCTAGCTGGTGGAATAGCTGCAAATGCTAGGAAGTATGTAGTTATAGTGGCAGACGGTTATAGGGTCTTGTCAAGCAAGAATCGAATACCTATCAGTGTGTCTAGTTTCACGGACTGCGAACTCGTTCATGGCATTCTGTGATGCGACGCTCAGCTTCCTCACTTGCAGTTGGCCACGGTAAGTAGCTCGGATGGCCCCCCCCATATTGCTGTGGTGCTCGTGAACTATTGAACTAGGATAGTAAAGTCGGCTGAGCAAACCATGCAGCAACTATAGTTGGGCTTCTTCCGTGATAAGTAGTTAGCATGGACGATCTGGAAGGCAGCAATGACCATGACGCTGGAATATAGAGCTGCACGATGTTGTTCTGGGAACGGTCCTTCCATTAAAGCATACAGTCACTGTTGCAATACGAATGTAGGTGAGTCGGAAATAGACAGCGCATTCGGAAAACCCGCCCGAGTTGACAGAAAGGGACCAATACACAAGGCGTGGTTCAGTTGTGTGGTGGGAGGGGGACAAGGTGCGTCATGTCGCCATGGTGCTCGCGAACCTACCACTCGGTATGCATGGCTGCATCCGCCGCCTTGCCTAATCACAAGCGAGAGGAATGCCAAGCACTGGGGACCGTCAACCCAAGAATTCCTTTGGAGGCATGAGCGCGCTCCGTGGCACATACCTGAACCGACGTATCGTCTCATCTCCGCGTATAGAGAAATCATATCCGCATAGCAGTTTCAACCGTATCCATCATCCATCCATCAATGTTTATCCGTAAAATCCTCAGTTTACGGTGTTAGAAGGACGCACATGAAGCGGATCAATCGCACGCCCTCGCAGCGCGGTGCCATGGTACCAGCCGGTACATTGAAATGATACATTGAAATCTC